ATCAAGAGGCAGACTTGGCGTTGGAAAAAAAAAAAAAAAAAAAAAAAAAGTGCAGCCTGGAGAGGTCCCTGGACCCTGGGGCACTAACCTCACAGTGGGTTCATCCACTGATGAGTTCACAGCTAGGTGGGCTGATCTGGGGCCCAGATGGAGGCAGTAGGTTACTGAGGGGTGTGACTCTGAAGGGTCTATGCTATACTTGCCTTGACCTCTCTAGCTCTTTCCTGCTCTCCCAGCTTCCTGGCTGCTAGGAGCTGAGCAGCTTCCTCCACCACACCCTTCTGCCACGATGTTTCTGCCTCGGAGACAGGACCATGCACTGAAACCTCAGAAACCGTGAGCCAAAATAAATCTCTCCTCCTCCAAGTCGCATATGTTAGGCATTTTGTCCCAGCAATGAACAGCTGACTGTTACATACAGGAAGCTACGGATCGATTATTTCCCTTAGAGTCAGAAGAAAACCCGTGTCTCACGGCACCTGCAATGGCTTGGACACGGTTGGAGCATCTCCCACGTCTTCATGTGTTGAAATTTAATCTCTGTTGTGAGGAGTCAGAAGTGGGGAAATTTAATCCAACTATGGTGTTTGCAGGGAGGCCTTTGGGAGAGGATTAGGTTTAGATGAGGTCATCAGGGCGATGAGACAGAGAGAGACACCAACAGACGCAGACACAAGCGCTGCTGTCTGTCTATCACCATGTGATGTGCTACACCACCTCAGGACTCTGTGGGTAAAAAGGTGTCACCGGATGCTGGCCCTTCACCTCGGACCTCCTGAGAAAAAATGAAGCTCTTTTCTAAAGAGACTTTGCCTCAGGCATTTCACATAGCATGGAATATAAACTAATTCAGGGCCCACAACTGCATCTGTTCTCCTCCTGGAGTTCATTCTGCCCTGTTTCCCCATTTTACAGAGAAGAAAAGTGAAGGTTAGAGGGATCAAATGGCTTCTCTGATAAGCAATGGTTCCAGGATGGAAATAAAGTGATACGTACAACTGAACCTTCAGTGCCAACTCACAGAGTGTCGTCAACCAGAGACCTCATGTTCCAGGGAAGAGTATTGTTCTGGTTTGTGTCTAGATGTCCCCCCAAAGCCTCATGCAGTCATAGGTGGGGATTTTTCAGAGGTGGCTGGATCTAGAGTGTTAAGGGTACTAGGATTAAGGGTGGCTGATGACTACATCAGTCCATTGATTGGTCTGGCACCACCCTGATCCTGGTATCCTCGATGTAATATAGGGGACAGAAAGAGGCTTGTCTTGTCTCTTGCTTGCTTTGCTACTTTCTGTCCACCACGAACTCTTTCTCCTCTGCCATGCCACCCTGCCTTGGGGCCAGCCGACTATAGACTGAAACGTCTACAAACAGTGAGCCAGGTAAACCTTTCCCCCTTTTACTCTCAGTGTCGAGTATTTTGTTCTCAGCAACGAGGAAAAAGTAAGTAAGACAAATACACTTTGGAATTGGCAGGGATTGGCTCTGAACCTCTGGGCTCAGCTTCCAGAGCTTGTCTGTGTGGACACGTCCCTTTCACCACACGCCTTTTTCACAGTAGGTGAGTACAGAGACAATAAATGGGGTAATCCTGGGAACTGGCCACACAGACAAGAGGAGAGCCCTGGTGACTGGCGAGATCCCCAAGGGTTAGCTGTAGGAAGCTGGCACCAGGGCACGGAGTGGTGACAGTGAGCGGAGGTTTCCAAAGCCAGAATCTGGAGTTGCCCAAGAGAATCCAGAATCAGTGCAGGCTTCCTGGTGGGAGCCAGGGGCAAGAAGACACAGTCCCTGCGAGGGATGCTCCAGGAAGACAGGTGAGATGGGGAGACGCACTTTAGCTCTCAGCAGAGCACCAGGGCTGAAACCACAGGAAGTGGGCACAGAGCTACAGTTCAGATCTAAACTGTCCTCCAAAGTCTCGTGTGTTTGGAAGATGAACGGATCATGAGAACTCTATTTTTGTCAGTACATTCATCCACCGATGAGTTCAGAGCTGAATGTGCTGTTAGCTCGTGGGAAGTAGTCACCGAGGAGGGGCCGGAAGGGTGTTTTCTGGTCCCCAGCTCCCCGCTTCTCCTCTGGTGCCTGGCTGCCATGGTTGAGCAGCTTTCCTCTACCCTGCCCTCCCACCACACTGTTCCTGCCTTGGATTGAAACTGTGAGCCAGAGTAAATCTCTCCTGCTTCAAGTTGTGGGAGTTGTGTTTTGTCCCCGCCATGAGAAAGTAGCTAACACAATAGGGAGCCTAGCAAGGACGGTCTCCACGGTGCAGAGTGGAGCAGGAGTGGGAAGGGATGGATATTATTCAAAACCAGCTCCAACAGGATCTAGGCAAAAATTATTTCAGACAACAATGTAAAGAACAGGTAACAAAAACCAGTCAAATAGAATTGCATTAAACTAAAAAGCTTCTGAACAGAAAAAAAAATAATCAGCTGAGTGACAGGTAGAAAATCTTTGCACACTACTCATTTTTTTTTTTTTTTTTGATACTGGGGATCGAATTTAGGACCTTGGGCCCCGGCCCAGCACACTACTCGTCTGATAAGGGGTTACTATCTAGAAAACGTAGAATTCCGATAACTGCTCAGGACAAAAATCTGATTGAAAAAATGGGCAAATGATCTGAAAAGACACGTCTCAAAAGAAGACACAGGTATATGAAAAATGTTGAGCAATCGTCAGGGAAGGACAGGCCAAAAGCACAATGAGATCTCACCTCATTCTGGTAAGAATGGCGACCGTCAAAACGACAACCACAATTGCTGGCGAGGATGAGGACAAAGGGGACTGCGATACACGTTTGGTGGCAATGTACCTGAGCAGAGCCACTGTGGAAAATAGTGCGGTGAAATGAAAAAGATCTACCGTATGATTGGGCAATCCCAGGTCAGGATAGCTACCCAAAGGAAAGGAAAGCAATGTGTCAAAGACACACCTGCCCGATGCTCGTTGCCACGTTATTCACCAACACGCAGAACCAACCAAGGTGTCGATCAATGGATGAGTGGACAGAGAAAATGTGGTACACAGCACAGTGCAGTACTACTCAGCCAGAACAAGGATGAAATGCTGTCATTTTTAGCAACATGGATAGGCCTGGACATCATAATGTGGGTGTAAATTAAATCAGGTATCACACGATCTCCTTGTATGTGAAAGCCAAAAGAGCCGATTTATGGAAGCAGAGGCCAGGGTAGTGGTCACCAGAGGCTGGGAAGGGTAGAGGAGGAGATGCATGGATATACTTTTTTTTTCCCCTGGTACTGGGGATGAAACTCGAGCCCTTGGGCTTGCAAGGCAGGAGGCGGAACCACTGAGCTAAATCCCCGGCCCCAGACACACTATTAATGTAATGAATTCTGGGTTTTCCAGGACACAGAAGGGTGATTATTGTGAACAATATGGTATGGTCTAATTCAGAATCACTACGAGAGAGGATCTGAAATGTTCTCAACATAGAGAAATGCTACATGTTTGAGATGGTGGGTAAACGTAAATACCCTGAGTTGATCATTGCAGTGTATAAATGCAGCCAAACATCCCATGGAAACCGTAAAGACGGGTGCAGAAATCCCACTGGGAACCTGGCCCTGAGCAGATAGCCTGTAGCCTGAGGGAGGGGCAGCCTGGCCAGCAACACCGCATCCCGGGAGGAAGCCGCGAGCAGCCTCTGCCTGGCTCTCCATGTCCCCACCGCTCCGCCAGCTCCGGAAGGTCCTCGGGGGAAGTGAGGACAGTGGCCTCTCCTTGGCCATGCACCCTTCCAGACCTGGGCTGTCCAAGAGCAGCAAACCCTCATCTTTAGGGAGCCCTGCCCAGGAAGGCGGTGCCTGCGGCCCCCCGCAGAGCATGGATGGACTCTGCACTCAGCAGCTCAGCACAGTGCTATTGAATACGGCCTGGTTGGAGACTCCACATGGGGCCAGCATCTGCTGGCAGTGGTTAACACCACATTCACAGCATTATGCGCAGGAGGGACACTTTCCATTCATAGATATGAACCAGGTCATCGAGGCTCCACGGGCTACATGCGGTGCCCAGGTGGGACTGCAACCTAATCCTCTATGACTCTAAGGTGTACGTATAACCTGTCCTGGACACCTGCTCTGCACAGATGTTGTATTTCCCTTAAGGGAATAACAATCACAGTCATAACTGTCTGTTATGTTAAGTCTGACAGAGCATAGAGCACCTCACTTTATGGATGAGGAAACAAAGGAACAGAGGTTGACTGACTTGCCCAGGGTCACGGAGCTAGGCAGCTGATACTGAATTCAGGGTGCGCACACAGTTAATGGTCTTAGAGTGAACACTAGGGGCTCTCCTGGAGATGTCTAGGCTGACCCG